GTGTGTGTGTGTGTGTGTGTGTGTGTGTGTGTGTGTGTGTGTGTGTGATGTTCAAGTGCTCATGGAGGCCAGAAATGGTGTCAGATCCCCTGAAGCTGAAGTTCAGGTAGTTTTAAGCAGCCCAGTGTGAGTGCTGGGAATTCATTCTGGTCCTGTGGAAGACTGCTAAACACCCTGAATCCCTGCAGTATCTCTTTAGCTTTGATGTAACTTTCAAGGGAGTACTGCACACTTTGAAAGACCCCCGTGACCATTATGTGGGAAATAAGTTCAAGAGGCCACACAGAAGTGGGAAAACAGCATCTAACTAATGACTAAGAAAAGCACCGTGAGCCAAGTAGCTTTGATGAAGATGGAGTGTTATAGGAAGAACTGGGCCTCTCCCCGGCTTTGTCTTGCAGTCTTAACTGCTAGTACCCTAGAGGGTAACTGTTTTCAGAGATAGTGTCTATAAAGAGATAATGAAAATACAGTTAGGTATTATGGCTATACCCATATGGGTAGGTCAAGCTTTTTGGTGTTCTTAGAAGGAAAACAGGTTAGAATGAAGACAGGAGCTGGGCAAGATGTCTCAGCGACCAGGGGTTTGTTACATAAACCTGGCTAACTGAGTTTAGTCCCTAGAACCCACAATGGGAAGAGAGAACTCCTAAAAGATATCCTGTGGCTTCCTCAATATGTGTCACATACGCACATAGACACAATGACCCAGACACATGACACACACACCCCAGCCCCAATAATAATATGTCTTTTAAAAGAATAAAAACTAAAAGGGAAGAATGTGCAAAAACAAGGAATAAAAACAAGGATTAAACCTCACAAGAAACCAATCTCATAAAGGCTTTGACCATGGGCTTCAGGCCTCTAGGCCTGTGTGGAAAGTTTTGTCTTAAATTGCCCAAGTCTGCATAGTTTATTGTGACAGCCTTCCAAAATAATATATGGAGGAAAGTAGATGTGTTTCAGATCCAGCCTTGAACCCAGAAGCAGTTTGATTTGCTGGTGGATTTCAAGAAGTTTTGTGTGCTCCTGGTTTAGAACTTTTAGAACAATTGGAAATTAGTGTGGCAACAACAGTGAGCAAGGACTTTGAGATCAAGAGGGACTGGGGTCAATGGGACGAGAGGCATACTGTGTAGGGGGAAGCCTTGGGAACCAGACAAGTGTGCACATGACGTTCCCATTGTTAGCTTCTTCACAGCCGGTGTTACTGGGAGGTACACAGTGGGAGCCAACACGGTTTTCAGTGGGTGAGCAAGGATCACCACACTGCTTGAGAGAAC